GTTGCTGCTAGAATCAAGGTAATGATAGGGTATCGTAACGGAATAAAATCAGTCCTCTTTCAGTGAGGTTTTTGTGCTCGTCCAGTATTCTGGAGCCTCTCAAGAATCTCGTGTTGACACCATAATTTTCTGTTCCATTCAATTTTCTCGTAGCATTTGCCTAACTCATTTGCAGTTGCACATTAGACATATCCATCATTGCTACTTCTGATCTAATTCATAGTCATTTTGATCTCTCAGTCATTAATAGCTATGTTAAGATTGTCTTTTTTTCATCCTCAATCTTCGACGATAAATGGTTGTGATTGTTTCCGAAACAAACCGCCAATTACTTCAAACATCGGAAATCATCTCAGAACAGGGTGTGACTGCAAAATTATGTATTGTGCTCTTGTCGACGTGACGAACCGCAGCAAACGACTGGGTTAATTGGAGACTGACTTTTGACGAGAGACGACGACGAAACCATATGATAATTGCACTCATGGGACAAAATGAGTTTTATGTGTACGCTGTGAATTATGAAACGATTGAATGAGACGTCAAACTTTGCTGAAACGCTGCAATTGTTTCGCTGCAAAAAATATCTTTGAAGTGTGCAATTCGGTTGCATTCGTGCATAAATATTGTATGAGTTGAGTGAACGGCTGAAGGGTTTCACTGGAGGTCGCTAATGATACTTTTGATGGTGATAAATTTGCACTAATGCACGTTTATGTCACAATATCGAAACACGATGATGCTTCGATGTCATCAATCATAGTGACCTTGAAAAATGATTACGAATTTTAACATTTTGTTTACGGTGCCATAAATGAAAAACTATGCTAGGATGAAAGGATCACATTTGGAAATTGATAGTAAACTGGTGAAATTGATAGTTCAGGAGCAAATATTAACGATATGTCTGTCTGTCTGTGTGAGGAGCATTACGCAATTAATGCTTGGCTCGTTTTTATTATCTATCTGGTGAATTCGTGCGTTCGTTCTTATTTTGACACTTATTACATTTTCAACTCATTCACTGCTTCATCACATTAACTCATGCAATGNGTTCACGCAAGTTTGTTGTTTTTGAAACAGCCTTTTCATTAGTAACGGTTGTTGTGGTTGATGGATGATATTGAAAGCTTAGCTTATCCGTCAAATATCCATCCGCTCCAGAACTTCTGTCAATATCATCATCATCATCATAACATTAATATTCTATCAACGTGGTGTGTTTCATCCATCAGTCTCTCTAATTGTAAACATATTTTTAGTTTGATCACAGTTTCTTTGATCATCTTTGATGGCTCATGGAAAATGTATGCACCCAATTAGGCTCAAACGAATCTAGACGTACAGTATGCAATTCCCTATGTGAGTTGTGCAAAACGAGTAATTTTACTCACTATCAGATGCAAAACGTATTTCTGCTCTCCTCTCTCACTCTAAAATTCTGCAAAAAATTATTCACACAAATCTGAAGAATATGCACTTTAGCGTATGCCACATGCGTAGGAAATCTAGCAGCAATATGAAAAAGGTTACGTGAAGGTTGCAAACAACTCGTGAATAATTCAATATGGTGCTAATGATAATGATGGATGGTTTTGTTGCGGTTGCCATTCGGAAAAGTTCTTCTGCGAGAATTGTACGTGCGTGATGAAATAGATGACTACTGAGTGCATAGCGTTGTACACTTGAGCGTGTCATATGGTTATTCCTCATTATCCTCAGTTCATTTCAACAATCAAGTACTCAACAAAATACATACGACCACTTNACTTCTATGATACAGAAGATATCCATCTGTCTATCTAAGCCATTCGCGTGATATATTGTATCATACGCCTTCTTGTAGACTTGTTTTTAATTTCGCGTTTTTACCTCCTCATCATTACCATGCAATCCCATCTAAGTGCTTTTCCTTTCTTCAATTCATTCAGACTCACCAATTCTCAATTCTGAAAAAATTGATTGACTCTGAAATGTCAAACGTCGCATGTCTGCAAATTCAGGCCAATGCTGATGTTAGAATGCTATTACATATGCACAAGGAAATGTCAAAGGAAGTCAGTAGTGAATGAAGCGAATAGCGATTCCGTGATGTTCATCGCTTGTTTTTGTTATTCATTTACTGATGTAGTTCATTTGCAGAACAGCACTAAAAGGTGTAACTGCAAAAGGTTGTTAAAGGACGACTATATTTATTCTTCTTCTTCTTCGTCTTCGAGCACCGAGCCTCTCGTAATGTTCAACTTGTGAACCATCCATCAGTCTACATCGACAATCACCTTTGAATGATATGATTTAGATGGATTTGCTGCTATCAATGGGCTGAAACAACGTGCGTAGTGCTGATGGAGCGGAAACGATAAAGATCTTTCAAGTTCTATTCAGCACCAATTTCGTCAACTCCAAAGACATTGATCGGTCCGAAGATCGAGAAACGAACGATAAGGTCTTGGAATCGTGGCAAGATTGTTCCGAGGCGCTGAAAAAACGAGAAAAAATATCTTGTGAAGCGAGCCACGAGGAGATCCTTTGTGAAACTGCACTGAATCTCGGTGACCGATGGATTACGACTGGTATGATGAAGACTTCTTGGAAAGGATCGAACAGAATGCAAGTGCGATTGACGAGATTTTGGATGCAAATTTGGAGCGTCGTTGGTATTATTTGTTCCTTTCCGTTGTGCCGATTGCGTGTATCATCGGGAATTGTATGGTGGTGGCGGCCGTTTGGACGACGAAAAGTCTTCAAACACCCACAAATTATTTGCTCGTTAGCCTGGCAATAGCTGATCTCTTTGTTGGCAGTTTCGTAATGCCGTTCAGCATTTACTTATCGGTATGTCTAAAGCATTTTCCACACATCCTATCATCATATATCTACACTATATTCATAATTTCATCGTGACGAGACATTTTTCAATTTTGCAAGCCTTATTCCCAAATGCATTCCTCGATAATGCCTGTTAGGTGCACATCAAATGATAATTATCTTCAAAACCTGCTCTTTCATTAACTTACACCAACGGTTCTCACGTTCGGGTACTCCATTACCCATTTTGATGATCTGGTAGTTTGCCGTTACCCCCCGTCCCCTTGATACAAGACTCATAGTCAGTATTTCTACGTATGATTTAGATGGATTCTCATTCTTTTCAGACATGTTATATTCCCTCTCATAGCTATTACCTGCAAATATCGTTCTCTTGAT